CCGGGTTGTGGAGGAGGTCTCTCCAGGTTCAATACATGTTTGATTGACTTATTTAAGACTGGTGACCCCTCGTAAGGTCTGCTGAGTGAATGCATCACAACCAGCTTATTATTCAAATTTAAAACAACAAATTTTTTTTAACAATAGACTTCCTTCTTTGACTCCAATATTGAATTCTTTATACTGACTGAATTTATGACTCCTACATTTCTGGTTGTGACCTCCATAGTGTCTGCTGAGTCATATTATAGCGTTAACTACAGCGTCCCTTATCTGTATAATACCTTTTTATAATATGATCAGGTGCATCAAAATATGAACCATCTCTGGTAATAGTTGAATTGTACTACACTTAGATGTATAACGAAAATGCATCTTCACATGTTTGTGATTTTAAGTTGGACTGAGAAATGTAATCCTACTCCTCAAAAATATCCAGAATGATTTTAAATAATGTCACCAAGTTTTTGGAAACCAACATTTTGGAGAGGCGTGACTTTTCACCTCATGCACGTCAGATTTCCTTTGAAATAAACTTTAAAAGATACAAACAGACCTCTTCCACAGCCTGGTATGAGAAAGATGTATACATATGATGATGATGATGATGAATGTGTGTATTGTGTGTGAACCCGACATGGATATCCAGCGAGGTTGCTCTCCTGGCTCTGTCCTTGTGGCGTATGGGAGCGTAGCGTCCAGCTGAGACGTAAAGTCCCGTTCCACGATGGTCGGAGACAAACGCTCCTTCTCCCAGAGATGGGCGTCCTGTATATTCCTACATCTTCCCAGAGTCCTTTGGGGCCATTACTGGGGGGCTAAACCATGCAGTGCACATTATCTGATGTGTTAGGGTTCGACTGATATGGGCATGTAAAGACACATTTTGATTTAAAGTCAATAGCTAGAATTTGGTGACTGTCAAAACTTCATTTATAAGTATTGACATTTTCTATTGAAATGTTTTGTTTAATGCAGAAAGAAGCACGTTCTCGACTCTGAAGCTGTCGAGTAAGGCTAGGAGGAAAGAGGCTTTCAGCAGGTTATATCCAATACTGCGCCCGAATATCAGTCTGACCCTGACTCACGATGTTCTTGAATGAATTGAATTTGAAGCGGTTTAAATGTGTGTGGATCCTGATTGGAGGGTTAATGAGACGATGTTGTTTTTCAGAGGAGAATTCTGCCCAAACCCACCAGGAAAAGTCGCACAAAGAACAAGCAGAAGCGTCCCAGGAGGTGAGACATGTTTAATAAAACACCAGCTCAGATTTACCCTGAGCGTGGGAATAATCAGCTTTTTTGTTGCTTGGATTATCCAGGAAACTATTGTTTGTTTTTATATCACTCTTTCTAGTCTTTACTCTGAGACACCACCGTAACTCCTTATTACAACGAAAACTAGGAAATTGTTGCAATCAATTAGCAAAATAGCTTCATGTTGAGGTTATTCATTCAATCCAAACGTGTGAAAGCTGATCATTTAAGCCATTTGTACGCCACAGCTCACTGGGTCCAGCCTTTCTGTGTGGATCTGTATGCTATTCTTTTATATACTCAACATCCTTAGGAGTTTTGTAAGACATGACAACTAAAAAGTGCAATTTAGATTAAAGGTGGGGGGGTAGGTAATTCACTTCAGAAACACTTGTTATATTCCACGGAATGCTCTTAACATCCCGATAGCAATGAATATATAAAATGCTTTGACAATAAATCCATAAAAAAATGCCATCTGAAGCCGTGGTGCTGTAAAAAGCAACTTTCTTGCTACTACTTTTAAAACTGAACATCAAGACACAATGAATCATAGCTTTAATGAATAGAGGTTTAAATAAACTTTAAAAGATACAAACAGACTTCTTCCACAGCCTTGGATGATGATGATGATGATGATGAATGTGTGTATTGTGTGTGAACCCGACATGGATATCCAGCGAGGTTGCTCTCCTGGCTCTGTCCTTGTGGCGTATGGGAGCGTAGCGTTCAGCTAAGACGTAAAGTCCCGTTCCACGATGTCGGAGACAAAGCTCTTCTCCAGAGATGGGCGTCCTGTATATTCCTACATCTTCCCAGAGTCCTTTGGGGCCATTACTGGGGGGCTAAACCATGCAGTGCACAATATCTGTTTGTACAAGAGGCATCGTGACTTGGAAACGTGAATCTAAGTGCCTATGTAATTGTGTTTTGTCGGCCATAATGAAACGTGTAAACGATGGTCTGCTTTTTATATTGGACATGTGTTCATTCTGACAGTATTTAATGTCAAAGTATGTTACTGTAAGTTTGACTAAGTTTCCCACTTAGTTATATCACTTAGTTATATCACTTAGTTATATCACTTAGTTATATTTATTTCGTCTGCCAGTTATTTTACAGATTGGAAAATGCAGATAAATGACAAACTAAATCCTGAGGTTATGTCTCCATCTAACCTTGAGTCTTGATGTTTTTAGTTCTGCCAAGAGTCCACCACTTAACATATTAAATGTCCTCTGATGTTAATCACAGAAAAGCAAGTAGATATAACATTATAGAGGATAGTAGAAGTGGATTTGGGGGTTTTTACACTCGTATAGAACCCAATTCATTAAATTATTAAAAACAATAATCACTTTTTGGCTATATCTTTCTATTCAGAGATCTCCGGGCTGATTATACGCCCTGCAGGAGAGTTGGGTATTTAACTTGAATTTTTCCTTCGCTCCCCCTCAGCCGCACCTTGACCGCGGTCCACGATGCCATCTTGGAGGACCTGGTGTTCCCCAGCGAGATCGTTGGAAAGAGGATCAGAGTGAAGCAGGACTGCAGTCGGCTCATCAAGATCCACCTGGACAAAGCTCAGCAGAACAACGTGGAACACAAAGTGAGTCCACGTAGATGTGACCGTATATTCAGATAACAGAAACCACTTCAACTCATCGTTACCTCGTTAATCCTTTGGTTTACTGTAAGTCAGATGCATTGACACAAAGCCTTGCATACGTCTTCATAACGAACCAGAACCCCACAGTTTTAAATTGATCTGAAACTAAGTGATCGTGTATTTTGAAAACTTGAAGCCCTCATAGGTGCTATTCTGGTTGGCCGTCTGAAAAGCATCCAACGCATTGATTGTTTAAAACATTTATTCAGACGTGAAAAAGCATGTCTACTTCAAATAAGAACTTTAGCTCTGAGAACTTTTAAAGGAAATGTTATGCTACGTTCAGACACTTAATGATCCATTCAAATTGATGGCTCAAGAAAAAATAAGTCTAAAGCAAACTGAAAACGTTATTTCATGATCATTTTGCATTGCTTTCATGCTGGTCCTTCTGAAACTCAACATCAAGACACAATGAATCATAGCTTTAATGATACATGAGGTTTCAATAAACTAAAAACAGACCTCTTCCACAACCTTGATGATGATGATGATGATGAATGTGTGTATTCTGTGTGAACCCGACATGGATATCCAGCGAGGTTGCTCTCCTGGCTCTGTCCTTGTGGCGTATGGGAGCGTAGCGTTCAGCTGAGACGTAAAGTCCCGTTCCACGATGTCGGAGACAAAGCTCTTCTCCAGAGATGGGCGTCCTGTATATTCCTACATCTTCCCAGAGTCCTTTGGGGCCATTACTGGGGGGCTAAACCATGCAGTGCACAATATCTGATTGTACAAGAGTCACCGTGACTTGGAAACGTGAATCTAAATGCATTTCTGTTCTGTCTAGCTTAAAGAAACATCATTTTGGTTTTAGACAGGTGTACATTGTGATGCTAACTGACTTTGATTGTCAGTTGTACGTAGCTACAGTGCAGATATCTCAATGGAAATCTTAGGTCACTTTTTTAATGCAACTTTCACTAAGTTTGCTTTGATCTGCCAGTTACTATTATATGTATTGATAAAGATGCCAATTACCTTCCAAGACTCCTGAGTGGCTGTTACTGTGATGGGAAACCATGATGTTAGTGTCTCCTGTCCAGCATAAAGAAACATTTAGCATTCAAGTTTAATCTTTTGGTTTTAGACAGGGGCACATTGATATTTCATGCTAAATGACAAACGTCTTTATGCAACTTTCACTAAGTTTGCTTTGATCTGCCAGTCATTATATTAATTGATAAAGATGTCAATTACCTTCCAAGACTCCTGAGTGGCTGTTACTGTGATGGGAAACCACGCAGAGCACATTATTTTACACAAGGGCTTAACTCATGTTTACTGTCATGAGCATGCTAGCATTAATCTGGTGTGAACAGTGGGATTTCTTCACTTTATCAGCTAACTGTTTGAAGAATAAATGTTCCTTTCCACCTGTAGAAAGTCTAATGTTTCTTCACCAGTCAGTGGCTTTTGGGTTTTTAAATGATCAGGGTTCATCATTTGTTTTCTTCTGTCATTAAGTGTGTTGGCTTTGTCTCTAGGAAATCGAGGTGGGTGGCAGTCGGAAAGCCATCATCATCTTCGTTCCCGTTCCTCAGCTGAAGTCCTTCCAGAAGATCCAGGTGCGTCTGGTGAGGGAGCTCGAGAAGAAGTTCAGCGGGAAGCACGTTGTCTTCATTGCACAGGTGAGCAGGAGGGAGATGTCATCATCATGGATGGATCAGTACTGCCGGGTTGTGGTGG